GAATAGGCGTGGCCTTGTAAGGCTCCGCCCCGTCCCGCTTAGACAATGCCCGGGAGCCGCCAGACCCAAGCGCCCCCGCCCCGTCGTAGGACGTGAACTCGCCAACCCAGGGACCCCTCAAAAGCTAGAGCTCCCAGTCTCTTGTCTTGAAGACTAGGACTCCTTTATATCCCTACCCTACCCTCTGGGGGTGGGGCCCCAGCCGAGATCACAGCGCAGCAGGAGTGACCACTGAAGGTGAGTCTGGGGAGGTGGGTGACCACTGGACCGTAGCTGGTATTTGGGGATACCGGGCCTGTGCCAGTACCGAAAGGAGTGTGCGGGAGGCTGGCTTTTGGGTCGGAGCTGGGCGGGGTGGACTTCGGTGGAAGATGGACAGGGGTACCGGGTCTTGGGGCCAGGAGTGGCGCCGCGCCCCGGAACCACGCCCCCGTTTCCCCGCCTCCCGGATTTCGTTGTAGACCTCTCCCAGTCCTCCGGGACTAGGTCTGGTTTATACTGGGTCGCGCCAGGGACAGCGTGACTGGCCTGGGTGGAGAGAGGATGCTTAACTCCTTGGACTCTTAATTCTTCTCTCTCTTCCTTTTTTTCCCCTTGGGGCTTAAGGACTTCATGTCCTGGGTCCTGATTCACTCCCCAGCTTTCTCCTCCTGCCCCATTACCCCTGTGTGTGGGTCCCTGGCCAGACTTCGGGTCCCTCCAGCTGCGAGCAGCTGAGGGTTAAGGGGGCGGGGCCGCCGCATTTTTGGGGAGTGAGCGCATCCTAGCGGCTGCCAAGAGGGGCGCCCAGCAGGGACCTTTTGAAGCCCCCGAACAGGGGCAACAGGTGTTTTGGAGATTAGGGATTTAAGTCTTGTTCCATGGGCTCCTCTTAAAGAAGCAGACTCATGGGGTTGCAGTGTGGAGCAGGGTCCACCGAAGAGAAAGGTCTGGAGGGGGTGGGGAGGAGTGGGAGGGGCACCGAGATGGCAGGAGGAAGACCCTCTTAATCACCGTTAATCAGGCTCTCTTTTTTTTTTTTTTTTTT